CACTAGATGGTGTGCCTACGAGGACGCTGGGCCCTCAAACGGGTGGATTGTGAGATCTCACATCGGTTGGAGAGGGGAACAAAGCATCCTTATAAGGGTGTGAAAACCTCTCTCCAGTAAACGCGTTTCGGCTATACGTAAGGAGCTAAAATAGACAATATCTACTCGCGGTGGGCTTAGACCGGAAATTGATTAGCTGGTAGCTTGCCATTTAACTTTAAGTCTTATGTAAGGCTGAATCTTGCATGGTTGTTTCCTGGCTTCTCTTACAAAATTAGAGCTCAACTTTGTCCTCCTTGCAGGTTTAGCTTCTCGACAATGTTCTTTTCTCACAGTAAGTTTTGTTCATTGATCCTACTCTATATATACTCAAAACCCAACCATTTTGTTGACTGTCTGTCTTGGTGCAGAGGAAAACACTGTAAGCACACTTGGACGGTCGGTGCTTATAATATGGCTCTTTGTTGTGTTAATTATCAATTCAAGCTACACAGCTGGTTTGACATCTATCTTAACAGTGCAGCAGCTAACTTCAAAGGTTGAAGGGATTGATAGCTTAATCTCTAGCACCGATGCTGTAGGAATTCAAGAAGGCTCATTTTCATTGAATTATCTGATTCATGAGCTGAATATAGCAGCTTCTAGGATCGTTAAGTTGAAGAGCCAGGAGGAATATATGGATGCTCTTCGCCGTGGACCTGCAAATGGTGGGGTAGCCGCCATTGTAGACGAGCTTCCTTATGTCGAGCTTTTCTTGTCGGGCACCAATTGTGTCTTCAGGACTGTCGGGCAGGAGTTCACTAAAAGTGGATGGGGATTTGTGAGTATTAATCCATCCAACTCGTGTTTTTGTTTTTGGGCTTTCCTCGTACCAATAGAGATGTATTCCTTACTTATAAACCCACGATCGTTCCTTAAATTAGTTAATGTGGGACTCCCTCCCAACAATCCTCCTCTCGAACAAAGTACACTATAGAGCCTCCTCTTAAGCCTATAGAACCCTTGAACAGCCTCCCCTTAATCGAGGCTTGACTCCTTCTCTAGAGTTCTCGAATAAAGTGCACCATTTATTCGACACTCGTGTCACTTTTAACTACACCTTTGAGACTCACAACTTCTTTGTTGACATTTGAAGATTCTATTGATATGCCTAAGTTAAGGGCATGACTCTGATACCATGTTAGAAATCACGCCTCTCCACAATAGTATGATATTGTCCACTTTGAGCATAAGCTATTGTGGCTTTGTTTTTGGACTTCCCCAGAAAGCATCATACTAATATAAATGTATTCCTTACTTATAAACCTACGATTATTCTCTAAACTAGTCAACAATTCTCTGTCTCAGGTATTTCCAAGGGACTCTCCTCTAGCGGTTGATTTGTCAACCGCCATTCTTCAACTCTCAGAGAATGGCGATCTTCAAAAGATTCATGACAAATGGCTATCACGAACGGAGTGTTCGATGAATCTCAACCAAGTCGACGCAAACCAACTATCACTGAGTAACTTCTGGGGTCTGTTTCTAATTTGTAGCATTACCTGCATTGTTGCTCTTTTGATATTCTTCAGTAGAGTAGCATTCCAATATCAAAGAGCTACCCCGGAAGCCCAGCCTGAAGTTGAGGAGACCCAACCTGATAGGACGGGACGCTTCGGTCGTACGACTAGCTTCATCCAATTTCTAGATAAAAAAGAAGTAAAAAAGGCTAAAAGAAAATTCATTGATATCAACCGAGCTGGCCAGAGCTCTGAGGGTCACTCTGATGAACTCAAAAAGGCCGAAGGAAAATTCATTGATATCAACCCAGCTGGCCAGAGCTCTGAGGGTCACCCTGATGAACTCAAAAAAACTAAAGGAAAATCCATTGATATCAACCCAGCTAGCCAGAGCTCTGAGTGTCACCCTGATGAACTCAAAAAGGCTAAAGGAAAATCCATTGATATCAACCCAGCTGGCTAGAGCTCTGAGGGCCACCCTGATTCACAGCCTCGTTAGCGCTTGCCCCTCGTCCTGGGGTGGAAAAAGCCTCAATCCCTGTTCTTATTGGACTTTTTGGGTTCCTTTTATTTTCATGTCTCATATAATGCATAAACTACACACGCCACAATAGAGCTCTCGTAGTTTTGCTTTTAGAAACTTGTAAATCTACGATGAAAACTTCTTCATTAGCCGACGTGAGACTCCTCTCTCAACAATCCTCCCCTCAAACAACACCATATAGTCTCTCCTAAGGCCTATGAAGCCCTCGAACAAAGTACACCCTTGAGTTTCTTTTGACTACACCGGCTAGCAGCTTCTTTTGTTCAAGATTTGATGATTCGATTAGCATGGCTAAGTTGAGAGTATGACTTTGATACCATGTTAAGAATCACGAATCTCTATAAAAGTATGATATTGTCCACTTTGAGCATAAGCTCTTGTGGGATAATATTCATTACTAATAAACCTATGATCAACTCCTTAATTAGCCAATGTAGGACTCCTCTCACAACAATCCTCAACGGACACCACCGATCAATAAGCTTAACTCAGCTCGTAATAAATCATATTTTAAGCATTTATATAAAACTCTAAAACATTGTTTGCAACATCACTTTTCTCTTCCTTCAAGGGTATTTACGTCCAAGCCTAATTTAAAAATTCAATTAAAAAAATATAATTAGCATTTTTTTGCTACGTGTAATGCCTTTAGTCATTTTTCGAATTAGACACCCTTTGTCTTTTTGGACGTATTTTATTTTGTTGGGACCAAATTACCCCTAACAAGGAGTAAAAAAAACATAGGAAATACAAAGAAAATAATTGTTGAATTAAAATTGAAAATAAATAAATAAATAGATTGGCCCACATAAGATATTTATGAATCCCTAAAACTTGACCAAAAAATTGAAATAGTGCATACGTGTCCTAAGGGTTTTATTAAAGACAGAAAAAAGATGTGAATGACGTGGACGTATTAAGAAATCTTAGCCATTGATGGTTCGACCATCATAATTTAAATAAGTCACCAACTTTTATGGTTTGTCGTTTTGTACACCTAACAAGATTCCTTGTCTCCTCATTTTTCATTCTTGCCTACGTGTCTTAACATCCTCCACCACATATATATTTATTTCTAAATTTGTAATTTGTTTAGAATTTATTTGATAATATATAATATTGACTAATAAGATAAATGTTCAAATTTTCGTGAAATTTTGATTTTAGAAAATTACACGTGTTTCTTATCATTAAACCAAACCAAGAGAATTCTCGACAAAATTTAAAAAGAAAAGAAACTTTTTAAAAATTATTTCTTTAGTTTTAAAAAATTGGTTTGAGTTATGAAAATATTTGTAAATAATAGTAATGATAATTATAAAGTTAATGTTTTAAAAAAATAAAAAATAAAATAATTATGAAAATAGAAAGAAAAAAGAGAAAAGAAAATGACATGACATGATCGAACTCCAATGATGAAAATGGAGTTGGTCGGTTCAATAAGTTTGAAATTATGAACCTCCAAAGATATTTTGTAAATCACGTTATTGTTCAATATATTCATCTAAATTTAATAAAATAAAATAAAATTATTTTATTTTATTTTATTTTGACTTTTTTGCAGTACAATAAATGTAGGGAATGGGGAAAAAAATTAGTTTCCAACTTCAAATTTTTCTTCCTAAAAATTGAATTAGGATTCTGATAAACACGATCTTTAAAATTAAATTAACCGAATAATTTTCTATATTAATTTTAGGTAATGAAACTATATTAGGTATGATATATTCAACATTTTTTTAATTAATAAAACTATTAGGTATAAAATTAAATATTATATCTAGAAAATTTGGGTTTCAATTTTGTGTTTAATACCTTCCTAAATTAAAAGAAAAAAGAGTGGGCAAGAACCTATTAAAGAGGGTAATTAAATGTTCAAAAATTTATTAGACACCAAACTCAAATTTTAGAAACTTGACAAGTTTTAAAGTTCAGTGCCGTATTGGACGTAAAATTGGAAATGTTAAAACTTATTAAATACTTTTAAAGTTGTGAGATCTCTTGTAACAAAAAATTAAATGTTTAAAACTCAGTCTTTGTTTGCACATTCTCGTTGAATTTAGGAACAATTCTCAAGATAAAAAATAACATTGAAAAAAAAACATGAAAAACGAAAATTAAAAAAAAATGTTTTGAATGGGTAAGATTAATACTGAAATTTGAACACCAATAATTAAGAGACATCCACGTTTTAATCATATGATGATTAACGGTCCAAGACAAACTTTTTGGTCAGCATCATAAGATTTTGACACGTGGATTGTGTCGTATGATTTTTTGCCACTCGAATTCAATTTCGACATTTGGTTTACTTACGTTCTACCGGTAAACCGCCCTTCCGTTAAAGTCGTCACATTGATAGCTAAAATGTCGTTGAAACTGATTTTTCAAGAAAAAAAAAAGAAATAATTATAAAAAATTCCCCCAAAAATCAAATAATGACGATTCATAGTCTAAAAATACCCCCCTGGTTTGAAGAGCACCAAGATCCCGGCTTACCATTTTCATGGCCTGGAGACCAATCCACACTCTCACTCCAGACCATCCACATTTCCCAACAATGCCTCAACCTTGCCGGAAACAGCCACTCAATTTCGGCCTTAAGCGGCAGATGCATCACCCGGCGACTGCTCTGAAGCGCCGCACTCGCCAGTTTTTGGAATCAATTCTAACATGTTACTCAAAGAAGCCTCAGACATGTCGGACGGTATGTGATGATGCTGCTACGGCTTCTATATCACCGCGGGCTGTCGCTGATGGTGGGTCTGAAGCAGAGACTCGAACACCCTTGTGCCACAATCATAGCCAGGACAAAGATTTGGTGCCTCTGAAGATCAGCCTGTTGGGTGATAGCCAAATTGGAAAGACAAGTTTTCTGGTAAGTGGAGTTTACGTTTGGGTTTTGGGTTTTGGTTTCTGGGTTTCACTTTTCGTTGCTGATTTGAAGGAAAAATATGTTGGGAATGAAATGGAGGAGGGAAAGAGTGAGCAGAGAGGATTGAACTTGATGGACAAGACACTGATGGTTAGAGGGGCACGAATTTCGTATAGCATTTGGGAAGTGGGAGGTAATTGGCTAAATTTGCAGCTCAAGAATTATAATGTGGACAGTTCTATGATGAGATGCAGAAAGGAAATAATGTGTGTATATGGATGCAGGCGACAAGAAATCTCAGGATCACATTCCAACAGCATGCAAAGACTCTGTAGCAATACTTTTTATGTTTGATCTAACAAGTCGGCGTACCTTAAAGAGGTGAGACTTGTTTCTGTTGCTTATTCAACTTTGGCTCTGATGAATAAGAAGGTTGAAACCAAGATTTTCCTTCGGTTTGCAGCGTTCTAAGGTGGTATAGACAGGCCTGGAAGTGGAATCAGGTATTTTAGGACCCATTTGATAGCACCCTCCAAAGTTTCTAAAACCAAAAGCTCCTTTCTCCCACTTTACTGAAGGTGGAACGTTCTCTGTTTGTTTTGCAGGCAGCAATTCCAGTACTGATAGGAACAAAGTTTGATGATTTTATCCAACTCCCAATCGATTTGCAATGGGCAATTGCAAGCGAGGTAACAGTAGAAATCATGAGTGTTTCTTTAGTCGTACCCTTAGCCAGGAAACTGAATGATGATCCAAGATCCTGCAACTCCATAATTTTGTAACAAACTGATAGATTTTTTTGAGAGTTTCCCACCAAATCTTCCAAATTTGGGTTATGCCAGAGGTTGTCACAAGATTTTCTTATTTTGACAGGCAAGAGCCTACGCAAAGGCACTGAATGCGACATTGTTCTTCTCCAGTGCAACCTACAACATCAATGTCAATAAGATCTTCAAATTCATCACAGCAAAGCTCTTTGACTTACCTTGGACGCTTGAGCGCAACTTGACTGTTGGAGAGCCTATGATAGATTTCTAGAGTTGTTCTTCCACCCTACATTGCCAACCTGATTCTCAAGAAACTCATAAAATCATCCTGCACAAGGATTACCATCCACATTGCTTCCACACAGCTATGTCAGATGTAGCGGAGAAAGGCAGAGGCGTAGAGCCCCGTCTCCGAAGTCAAGATGCATCTGCACTGCACTAAAGTTGTAGAAAAGCAATCAGACAATTTGTAATAACCACAGTTGTTTACGGTGTCATAGGAATCAGATCAGGCATGTCATAGCAAATGCAGCTAGAATCCTTTTAGAAAGTTTAGTTCAAAATCCATGCGTATCTGTAATCACGCTCAGCATCTTCTTTTTTATGAGAAAATTACAGTGCCTGTAAAATTAAAAAACAGTTAGATGTCCTTCTTGCTTGATGTGATCGAGTAAAGTTTTGTCCCTCATCTTTAGACAAGCAGCTGAGGTAAGAAGTAAAAAGTTTTCTTCAATAACAGACCATCCCATGGCTTAGCAAGCAATGGTACGTACAGAGAGGGGAACGAAATATTTCTTATAAGGGTATGGAAACCTCTCCTTACCAGACGCGTCTTAAAACCATGAGGCTGACGGCGATACATAACGGACCAAAGCGGATAATATCGGCTAGCGGTGGGCTTGAGCTGTACAACTGCAAAAGTTAATAATTGAGCCCCCTACTCTTATTATATGCAGTAACAGTGCAATATCAACATTCATAGCGGAAAAGGTTTGAGTCTGAGATATCAAATAATTCCACATGAATCCAGAAATGAAATTCATTTGAGAGCAATACTGAAGTACCTGTTAATGACAATGTATTTACAACAGTAACTTTCAGGTGTTCAAACAAATATATTCCAACAAAGAAGTTCAATAAAACAAGATTGTTACAGGATGTTGATTTAACCCCATAAGCAATGACAGGCTTTGAAACAGGAGCAAAGATCCTCCAGTTTCTATAACTGGTTGAGAGTTGACCAAGTTCATTAAATTCATGAATTAAATGAAGTTAACAGAATGTTGATTAAACTCTATCTGAAAATCTGAATACATTTATGAAACTTACACGGAAACAAATATGCCTGCAAATTTCAAGCACATGCATACGGAAACAAATATGCCTGCAAATTTCAAGCACATGCATTGCTTGAAAATCTGGAAAAAGGTCCTGGAACTGTCTTAAATGGTGTGGTAGCAAAGAAAAAGTGTAGTGTAAAGTATAAAAGATAATTAAATTATATGTTGAAGCAACTAGCAGGAGTGCAGCTTTTGTATCTTAGCAAAAATGAATCGAGCACATGGGGAACAGTAAAGCATTGTATATCAGAATCGGATCATGACATTGATAACAATAATTTGATCCTAAAACTTTATATATCATATCTTTACACATTCGAAAAACATACACTCCACTTTGGATCCTGTGCGGGGAAGATCGACATATGCCATATGATACTTTTTATGCTTTTCAGAAATGTAATTTAAGAATTTAATGAATATGGAGTAAACAACTTGGGAAGGACTCGATCCAACAGAAGATCTAAACTAACACTTAGTTTTCATTTATCCAAACAAAGAAACAGAGAGAAAAGAGTGTTAAACGAACACGACTCTCCACAATGGTATGATATTGTCCACTTTGAGCATAAGCTCTCATGGCTTTGCTTTGGGCTTCCCCAAAAGGTCTCGTACCAATGGAGTTAGTATTCCTCACTTATAAACCCATGATCACACCCTAAATTAGTCGATGTGGGACTTCCATCATCCAACAAAGAGATGGTGAAGAAAAACAAACCGGAAATCGGAATTCGAAATCCCTGCTATTCAACGAACGCTAAACGTTAAGTGTGTTATTTACTCTTGGCTTCTCTCGTTTCAATCTGTAGAGAGAAAATTAGAAATCACAGGTTGTTTGAGAAAGTTCTACAGGAAATCCCTAATTTCAAATTCCATAAACCACAGAACGAAAGGAAACAAAAGAAGTCGGAATTTTAAGAGAATTTGGAAAATTCATAGTAGAGGATTGAAGGAGAAGTTAAATTACTTGGATAGAAAATGAAATGATGATCGTTCCCCTCTGGCGTCCGCCATTGACACTCTTCCGTCGGAGTTGCCGGTTGCCGCTGCCTGCATTCTGCTCGCTGGATTTAGGGTTGTCAAAAAAAATGGCGGGTAAATGTAATCTTTTCCATAAAAGAGATTCAACTGTTAGTGTGACATTTTTTTTTTTTTTTTGAAAATTATTTACTTAAATTTTAAAAATATCTATAAATTTTTAAATTCATAAAAATTAATACTTACTTTTATGTAGTTTGACCTAATTAAATATTATATTATTGACCTAATAAAATATTGGAATTTTTTTATTAAAAAAAAACTCTAATTTATGAATTTATTTATCTTAAATAATTTTGTACACCAATAATTACTTACATTATTAACTCCAAAGAAAACTTATTTATATTAATATTTTTTTTTAAGGGAGAGAAATTAATTTAAAAAATTAAAATGAAAGTATTTATTGTATTAAAAGTTAGAGAGCATTAATGAATTTGATTATCCAAACATTTCCCCTTTTCTAAACTTTATATTATAATACAGTTAAAGAAGCCCACCTTGAATGGTCATTTATATAAGGATATTCAATTACATATATAATTTATAAAAAAAATATTTATACTTTCTCGTACTTTAATTATGCTTATATTTAATCCTCATTGTTAACCTTGATTAATTAGATGCAAATTTAATTTTTTTTTTTTTCAAATTTTTAGAATCATGTCTCTTGCCGCTTGCTAACATATAACATTGCATTCTCAAAATTGCTCGTCAATCGTTGACCTCGTTTTCTAAAACTATTTTTTAAGAACATGGTCAAAGACTTGAGCATACATTGTCCGTATCAACGGTGATCAAGTTTTATTTAGCTTACATACTCAATGTAACATTTTAAACCCAACGATAGCAGATATTGTTCTAACGCGAGCAAAAGTTTGTTAAAACGCGTTTGCTAAGGAGAGGTTTCCACACTCTTATAAAGAATGTTTTGTTTCCCTCCCCAACTGATGTGGGATCTCACAATCCGCCCCCTTCAGAGCTCAGTATCCTCACGGCACACCACCCAGTGTCTAGCTCTGATACCAACTATAACAGCCCAAGCTTACCACTTGCAGACATATTGTCCTTTTTTTGTTTTCCTTTGAGGCTTCCCCTCAAAGTTTTTAAAACCTGTCTTCTTAGGGGAGAAATTTTCACACACCTTTATATAGATTGTTTCATTCTTCTCTCCTAACTAATGTGAGATCTCACACTCAAGGACGAAAGTAAGTATTAGGAGTCTTGAAAGAGTACAATTGTGACAGTTGATATCAAAGTTTCTTAGCATCGAATGAAGTAATGCAACACGAAAATTTAAGTTCTGGGTGTGCAGATGAAATCTCTTAACGTTCATAGACTGAATAGACACGAGTAACTAATCGGTAGACGACTAAAATTAGAGGATCGGAGCCATGAAAGGGTAGTAGGCTTCAAAAAACATGGCATCATAAAATCACAAAGGGGAAACACAACAATGAATCCATAACAACACTCATCCATCCCACAAAATAACCAAACAAAACAAAAACCTAAAATACAAATGTTGTCATCACAACAAGTCCCTTCCTTCCTAGGAAAAATTAGATGATTTGGTTCTTTTTTCTTGTCGTTTCAGCCTTTACTCTGTTCGAGGAAGTCAATGCCCGAACCCCTAAAACACTCTCTCCATTGTTTTTTTGTTGCAGGGTGCGTTCTTGACTTCTCCCAAATACTTCGTATCAGCCAAAAATTCCCTCATTAACCCCTAAAACCCACAAAAGTTTCCCCCTTTTTCCTGTCTCTTATGCTGTCTCACATGACAACGAAGCTTTAATCCTCTCCGCCGTACAAGCAATCAGATTGTTCACCGTTGCAACTGACCCAAGTGACAGTTTTGCTGTTGGCACCGAATCCACCAGAATCTGAAATGCCACCGTCAGGAGTGAACCACCGGTGGCAGTCTCTGCCGTGCCGTCTGGAAGAATGGCGAACCCGGAGGGGAGAAGCGCGACGTAGTCGGGATCTCCACCGTTGAGGACGACGTTCATTGCGACGATGTCGACCGGAGCGTAGATGACGAATGAAGCTGTTGGGTCTGTGCAGCTTTCTTGCAGGATTAGCATGTTGCTTTGGCTTGAATTTGCACTCTACAAATTATTAATAACCATAGTTTTGAGCAAAAAATAACCATAGATTTTTAAAGGGTTTAGGGTTATAGGGAGAAGTGTTACGTTTACACGTAGAAGAGAAACGCAGTTGCCCGTGTCACGACCGTTGGCAATGTGCGCCATTTCTTGAACTACTCCGCCATTCGACAGAATATCCCACTGTAAAAATATCAAACAAGAAGCACCCATTAATCGATAGTATGCCATAGAGCCTTCTATAAGGTCTATAGAGCCCTTGAACAGCCTCCCCTTAATTGAGACTCGACTCTTTTCTTTGGAGCCCTCAAACAAAGTACACCCTCTGTTCGACACTTGAGTCCCGTTTTTACTACACCTTTGAGGCTGACCACTTATGTTTTCAACATTTGAAGATTCTATTCACATGGTTAAGTTAAGGGTATGACTATGAAACCATGTTAGAATCACGACTCTCCACAATGGTTCGATATTGTCTACTTTGAACATAAGCTCTCATGGCTTTGCTTTTGGTTTTCCCAAAATGCCTCATACCAATTGAGATATATTCCTTACTTACAATCCTATAATCATCCTCTAAATTAGCCAACGTGAGACTTCCTCCCAACAATCTTCAATACTTAAGCTGATAAGTTACAGTAAATTTTAATACCTCGCTTCGAGAGTTCTCGTCACGGAGAAAATCAAAGATTCTCTTAGGTGGAACGGGAAGCCAGAAGGAAGTTGCAGCACTAAGGACAATACCCGGAGGTCTTCCGGGGTCATCGATACTCTTTCGGGTCATGACTCGAACATCGTCGGCTCCCGTACCCGACAAAGTAGTCCATGTGTGAGTCGTGGAGGCGCTCACACCAGCACAGAAGCTTATCACCATTCTCTCAGCCAGCTTCAGCATGCTCTTCCTCCCTTCTTGATTCGTTATCACTAGGTTCAATTTGAATCCACCATTACATAACAAGAACAAACAATCAGGGAACTAATTTAACCATAACCATAACCTATAAATACCTCCAACATCACCGGTGGGTATGTTGGTGGCCATGGCACTGGCAAGCCGTTCACATTGGCGGTCTAAGGTTGTAACCCATCGCTTGGCCCCAAAGGCTTGGCCGGAGCTCACCAGCTGCTTGTAAAGACTATGAACTCCTCTATCATCAACCTCAACATGCTCAACCCATGTAACCTAATATACCAAACCCAACAAATCAAGTCCCTTTCATTCCAATTCATTAAAAAAAAAAAAAACTCATCTTTTTTAACAAAATTCACCTTTGAATAACCATTAGGCATTTCTTGGATCAAACAACCCGACGGTCTTCGTCGGCATCTTAATCCAGGAGTAGGACGAAGATCATCCAATGAAACATCGACAACCGCCCACGTCCCGTCCACATGTTGTTTGCAATATCGAACGTAGTAGCTCTCCCGAGTTGGAACTAATGGCGACGGAACTTGAAATTCCGACGTCATCTGAATAGATATTAAGCTTTTGAGTTTAGTAGTAGTTTAACGGTGTAACGGTCGAGATAAAAAGAACATACCACTTGTAAAGCTCCATTGTAATTTCCAGCTACTCCAGTTGATAACACTTCAAGTGTCATAGCTCTTGACACAATTCCAGAGAATAAAGTTGACCATTGATTCTATCATACAAAATTAAGTCAAAATTAGGTTAAATTTAAAAAAAAAAACCCTAAAATTCAAACTTAAATTACTTACCACGTCCATGAGAATCTCAACAAGGTTAATATGATTCATGATAACAACAGCTGATTCACGTGAGGCTTCACATTTAAACCCAGATGGCTTAGGCCCAATGCCTCTAGGAAACGTTCTCAAGTACTCATCTTCATTGAGCACATTAGTGGACCCATCTAGACTAGTCATCCATAAGGGCTCGCCTAGTTGAGCCATTCTAGTGAGCTCTTCCATGGCTGCAACTGCTAGCTCGATGATCATCGGCTTGTCCGCCTCGGTTGGAGCACTGATGGATCGGATTAGGTCACCAGCCGAACCGTAGATGTCTCCTCCTAAGCCTGATTGTGGTCCGAAGTTGCCCATTCCAAGCTCTAATGGTCGAGATGGAACTGGTGGAGAAAGTAGAGGGTAGTTCACTACTGGCTTCCCCACATATTTTGCAGCTATTGCGGATATGCGATCGATCTAGACGGGAAAAAATCGGAGAATTGAAAATGAGGTTTCGGGCGAGAAGCGGAATCTCGAGCTTCTAATAACTTCCAGATACAAATTCGAAAACATAATTTTCCAGATAACAACCTTCGATATAGATTCGAAAGTTACGTACCTCTTCGCGAAGACGGGCATTTTCGAGTCGAAGATGATGTTCATCAAAGGACATTTCACCAATGGCAGTCGGGCCACCGCAATTAGGGCACGAGGCATTGCTAAGAGCTTCTCTATATCTCATGTTATCAGCTCGAAGCTTCTCGTTTTCGGTTCGAAGTTGGGTGTTCTCATGGCGTTCATGTTGATTCTGTAAATGCAACACAAACACATCTTAACAAAACATTTCAAAGAAGAAAAAACAGCAAAAAAAAACAGCTCTAACCCTAAAGTAAGCATTTTTACCTTCATTTGAGTACGTTTATTTTGGAACCAAAACTTGACTTGCAAAGGCTCCAACCCTAATTCCCTGCTTAATTCCTTCCTTTGTTTGTCATCAGGGTGAGGACACTCCTTGAAAAAACTACCCGAAAAACCCGAAACAAAATTGAGCACAAACTCGAACTCAAACATAGCTCAGTAAATAAAACATTCTAGATAGACTTACGCTTCCATTTCTTGGATCTGATGTTGAGTATGACGATGATAACGCTTCTTTTTAGGACGAGGGTCTTGATCGTCACCCGAAGCAAGTTCATGATTGTTGTCGCTACCAGATTTAGTAGCGCTATCGAAATCATCGTCTCGGATTCGAGCAAAAT